ATCAACCTCTCATAATTACAAAAAAATGAACAAAATGAAAAATTATGATTGATTGAATGAGGTTTTGACGGTTTTTACAAATTGAGTGGTTTTTATTTGAACCCACCCCTATATATATATATATATAGATGATAATGTAACTTAATTAAGCAATGGAAAACAAATGACCTTTTTGCATTATTGACTATAGTTATCTTCGACACTCGTGAACGTTGACGTGGACTCACCATAAGTTATCATCTGTAATTCCTGTGCCTGCATCACTTGTTGGAAATCTGTTAGAACCATTGATGGTGCGTGAGACGCTCGGATGGTTTCTAACTCTGCAACAACTTCTTTCATTGTTGGCCTATTTTTTCCATTCAAATTCAAGCATCGCATAGCCACGTTAGCTACTGTCAATATCTCATCCCTTGTACCCTCCTTAATTACCAGTGCCTCAATAATAGACATGACACGACCTTCTTCCATAGCCAATAGAAAGTGCGTAGCCAAACTTCTGTTTTCACCAAATCTGGTTAGGGAAATCGGCATCTCACCCGTCAAGAGTTCAACCAAGACAACTCCAAAACTATAGACATCACTCTTTTCAGTGAACTGACTAGACTGGAAGTACTCAGGATCTAGGTAGCCAAATGTACCTGTGACTAAGGTAGTGAGATGAGTTTGATCTATTGATACGAACCTTGAAGTTCCAAAGTCGGAAACTTTGGCTCTGTGTTTATCATCCAAAAGTATATTAGTGGTTTTGATGTCCCTGTGGTATATTGGAATGGAAGTTGCTGAATGTAGGTAAGATACGGCTCCTGCAACCTCTGTAGCAATTTGTAGTCTCATGTTCAAAGAAATTGGGGAGTCATTGGTCTCATTGTGAAGATGATCATACAAGGTCCCATTTGAAATGAATTCAGAAACAAGTAGAGGGACTTCCGTCTCCAAGCAACATCCCAACAGTTTGACCACGTTGCGATGATTGACTTGCGATAGAATGACCACCTCATTGATGAACTGCTCTAGTTGGCTTTCATCAACTACCTTTGATTTCTTGACTGCCACAATTCTTCCGTCTATTAACATACCTTTGTAGACCGTACCTTGACCTCCTCGACCAAGAATCCTATTCTCGTTGAAATAGTCTGTGGCCTTCTCCAACTCACGTGATGTAAAAAGTATGGTTTTATCAAAGAAAGAGGGGTCAGCTTCCTCTTGTTGTTTTAGAAGTAAACCACCATTACGTTTAAAGAACCTCTTTCTCCTTCTCCTTGCTTTTGTTTTCTTGATCACTTTGTACAGTACATAGCTCATTGCCGCAAGAAGAAGTACACCCATGCTTATGCTGACACCTGAATGAATTCCAATACAAAATGGAAAATTATTTAGATGTATCCCAAACTTTTAAAGAAGTTCAAAATTCTTGCTCAAAGGGATTTGGAACATGTTCTTGTGGTTGTGTTTTTTAAGGATTTACATCCATGGTTGCATTTTCTATAATGAGTTGGGTCACTTTAGTTGAAGTTTTTCAATGATTTCAGTCCCTAAATAAATCAACAACCTGGTCTTGTGGGTGCATTAAGGACCCAAGGACCCAACTCCTAAATATGCAACCACAATGGTTAAGTTCCTGAACTTTTTTTTGAATAAATAAATTATCAAATTTCTAAAAATGGGACACATACATTCTTTTAACCCAAAAAAGTTACATGTAACCAACTAGCAATGTTTTAAAGTAAATATAAATAGATTCGTTTACAATTTCCAAACATTACACCATTCAAACCCTTAGCACACAATGACATTACTCCCCTTGCCACTCCTCATATGCTCTCTCTATAGTGCATTGCAGTCTTTGGTCCCTGTCATCGATCTCCCTCTTTTTAATCCATTTTTTTTCGATTCTCTCTCTTTTACAATTTAATAGAGCACATATAAACATAATTAAAAAATGGAGACTAAAAAGACAAAAAAAAAATAGTGAAATCGATGGTAGAGGCCAACAACAGTGATTGGCTAGAGAGTAACGACCATGAAGACGGGGGGTTTGAATGACTTACAAATGGGAACAGTCTTTGATAGGAACTAGGTTGCGGGCCAAGTCATCTGTACACCACCCGGTTTTCGCATGTGTATTACCACACTTGATAATGTTGTTCTCGTATTTTCATATAATAAAAATGTTCTCAATCGAACATCCACCATATTTAATATATAGATGAAATTACATTTTTGGTCTGTGGTTATCACTCACTATCAACTTTAGTCCTTATTTTGAACTAATTACAATTTTGGTCACTATAGTTGTTAATCTGTTTCACTTTTGATCATCTGACTAACTTTTGTTTAATGGCCCATTAGCTTAGGGACATTTTGGTCTTTTTATCGTTCTTTAAATTTTTAATTAAAATATATTATTATTAATTTTGTGTGATAACCAGATCCTGGTTATTACCCAAGGTAATTTATACGTGAATATTTGACTAAATGATTTCATGATAGCATGATA